ATCACATTCAATGTATCATCTTTTCTTGTTTAGTAAAAGGAAAATCATTAAAAGTTAGTTATTGTTTAATTTATTTGATTTTGGAAACTAATAGGATTAATTTTTGTTTTCTCCTGGAGTTTGATTTCAGAAATGGAACAGATGAAGGAAAGGTTTGCTAAACTGCTTCTTGGGGAGGATATGTCTGGCGGAGGAAAGGGCGTCTCCTCAGCTTTGGCATTGTCAAATGCAATTACAAATCTTGCTGGTAGGTTGACTTTTTCCCTTCTCTGCAATTTTCAATCATTCATGATCTCCAACATCAACTGGAAAACAACACCATCGAATTTTTGGAGATACCCCAACAAACATGGTGGTGCTGTATAGTTATATTGAATTCAGATGGTTTTCAATTTTTTTTTAAACCCCTTGTATGAAATTTGGCAAGACACGATTTTGTCTGTGTTAATGCATGTGTTGATCCCTCGTTTTATTCTCTCCTATATGCAGCTTCTGTGTTTGGCGAACAACGGCGTCTAGAGCCCATGTCGCCAGAAAGAAAAGCGAGGTGGATAAGAGAAATTGATTGGCTCTTATCTGTCACCGATCACATTGTTGAACTTGTTCCTTCCCAACAAAAATCCAAGGATGGATCAAATATGGAGGTAACAGTAATGTCTCTCTAATGCATTCCTTGAATTGAATGTCTTCCCCGTTGAATCATCATGCAAGCTAAGAATTTTATGTTTGTTGATTGAATAGATAATGGTGACAAGACAACGAAATGATATTCATATGAACATCCCAGCCTTACGCAAGCTTGATGCAATGCTTCTTGTAAGAAAATAAGATCTTTGTAGTTTCGCTTAGTTAATTTGAGCTTTAGATATGAACGTTGTTAAATGTGGATTGCAACAGATTTAGTGTATCCCTCGATAATGGTTTTGCAATATTAATTCAGGACTCCCTGGATAACTTCAAAGACCAAAATGAGTTTTATTATGTTTCAAGAGACTCCCCCGAGTCAGAAAAAGAAGGTACCAAGAGAACAGATGATAAATGGTGGCTACCTACTGTCAAAGTTCCTCCAGATGGTTTATCGGAAAGGGCCACAAAATTTATTCAAAACCAAAAAGACAGCGTGAACCAAGTTCTCAAAGCAGCCATGGCGATAAATGCTCAAATACTTTCAGAAATGGAGATTCCTGAAAACTACATTGAATCCCTTCCCAAAGTAAGAAAAAAAGCAACAGTTCCTATTAAAACATTGCATATAACAGAGTCTTTAAGTGCCTTGCTAACTCTCTGATCGCATTTCTTTTTGGTTCTTTGGCAGAACGGGAGGGCAAGCCTTGGAGACTTGGCGTACAGAAGCATTACGCTTGAGTACTTTGATCCTGATCAATTTCTGAGCACCATGGACATATCATCAGAACATAAAATACTAGACCTCAAGAACAGAATAGAGGCTTCAATAGTGATTTGGAAAAGGAAGATGAATCAGAAAGATAGTAAATCCGCATGGGGATCTGCTGTCAGTTTGGAGAAGAGAGAACTCTTTGAAGAGAGGGCAGAAACTATCCTCCTCCTTCTCAAACAGCGCTTCCCTGGAATTCCTCAATCTTCACTAGATGTCAGCAAAATTCAATACAACAAGGTAAGAATAGATTCCCTTTCATCTGAGTTCTATTTCGTATTACACTTGGAGCTGAATGAAAAGGCACTGGCCGGATGCATATATACTTGTTTTGCCATTCTGGTCATTTTTGTCAAACCAGGGGGCTAACGATATATCCGTGTCCTGACAGGATGTGGGGCACGCCATCTTGGAAAGCTATTCGAGAATTCTAGAAACCTTGGCCTCGACAGTCTTGTCTCGAATTGAAGATGTACTCGATGCTGATTATGTTACTCGAAATCCATCACACGCAGGACATAAGAGGAACACGTTAAAAGAGGCACCACAAGTGCCGGCATCGCCCAGAGAAGGGATGGAGAAGAACTCCGAAGATACAAATGCTTCGAAGACTCTGTCTGATTTTATGGGTTGGGGTTCAGAACAAAATGACAGTGCGGCAAAGAAGGATCCATTTGGATCAGATGAACTACTGAAAGATGATGATAGATATAAACAGAAACTCACTAACATATCAACCAACAGGAAACCTTCCTATCTTGATAATTTAGGAGCTTTACGAAGCCCAACAGCTCGCCATTAATAGCATTATAGGGGGAGAAAGATGAACACGTACAAAAAAGAGAGTGAGGAAGCCCAACACTGAATGTGTATTTTCAGACCCTTAACTAAGAGGGTCTTTTTGGTTTGTGTTTTTCGACTTGCTTTCATTCCATTCCTTCCTTTTGTAATTAGGAAGAGTAAGCATGAGAGCAAAACTATGTGATTTGAAACATTTTGTACAAGAAATGGATTCGTAGTTCCTTAGCATCTTGGCCATTTGATTTGACTTTCATTCCTTTTCTTCCAATACATTTCCCAATATGCTCTAAACTGTTCTCTCCAGTAATTATATCTGTGTTTGATAATCAATAAGCTCGGTTTTATACCAAACAACAACATTATTAGGCTGAAGCCTAGGCCCAAAAGGATTGCTAGCACTCAAAACATTGTTTACGTGTGCATGGTATTTTCTGCGAGCACACCTGATTTAGAAATTATAGCTTATAAAAGTTTCACATGTTATATCATTTTATTAGATTTTTTTTTTGGTCGAAAATCAGGGCTGAAAGCCCGAAGAAGAAAAACTATATTACACGAACAATAGTGAATCCAATAAAATCATAGTATAAAGTTAAAAAAACAATCTTAATAGTAAATCTTAAATTATCCAATTATTTTTATTAATTGGTTTCTAGTAAGACTATAATTTACTAACCAGTTTGCTGTTGTGTTAGCTACTTTGAATATGAGTATAATTTCCATTTACCGTAATAGTTAGCCTTATAATTAATTGAATCACCAATAAAGAATTCGATTTCAAAATGGCCTGGTTAATCCTAAGAGACCAGGCTAGTTCCACATCAGTGATAACAGCTAACAATTTTACCTTAACTGATGAACAAATACCTATATTAATAACATAACCCTTGCATCATGTGCCCAAGTTGTCTCTTAGGATCCCTCTTGCTCTAGCGATTCCTAGGTTGCCATTGCTACAGTCATCTACATTTAACTTTATTTAGTTCATGGAAGGATAATGTCACCCTACATATTGCACTCATTTCTTGTTGCTACCTTGATCCATATGAGCAAACTTCACATGCTTAATATCTGTTAGCATCTCATTAATAGTTGTAACTATATTGCCTGTGAGTTGTCTTTAACGCCTGAAAATCAAATTTTTTCGCTCTTTCCAAATTATCCACACTGCTACCTCCAAAGATTACAGACCATTTCCATCCATCCGTAGTGATAATTTTACTAGATAAGTTGTTAAGAAGCCATGGTTTGAAGCTTGCACTGAAAAAATCATTCATATTGTGTTGTTGTAGTAAATGTCTCTATATGTTGATAGCTGATAGACAATCTCAAAGGATATGAGTGGTGTCTTCTACTTTTAACTAGCACAAATGACAGTAGGGGTTGTCAGACCATTATCTTGCACCCTTTTATTCATTTATCAATAATGAATTATAAGCCATTAGCCATAGAAAACTTCTAAGTCTTTCAAATCCTTCCCATTTCCATACCATCTTTCAGGTTGGATCCCCTATTGTACCATGAAACTTGTGGTTAGCTTGATACTTATAAGCTGTTTTAATTGTGAATTGGCTACTAGAAGATGTCCTTCAATATATATTGTTTGTCCGTATCATAGTACTTGGCACGAAATGATTAGCAATAACCATTAGAACTCTTATGGGAAGACGATGGGCAAATCTTCTCGTTTCCATGTGCTATTTCTCTCTTACCATATTTGCCACTCAAGTGCCACATAAGAGGAGTATCATTTTACTAGTTAGCATCTCAGATATAAGAATATTTGTTTGGTTATTTTTTATTCCTGTCCAATAAATTATATGATCAAATGTATTTTTTTATTGGCAATGAAAATGATCTTCAACAACAATATAACTTCTCCTCATGATCTCTCCTGAAAAAATCAAAGCCTAATAGCCTACTCTTTGCCACTCCTCATCAAGTAAGCTAGGGGATTTGGGTGACCAAGGGCTTATAAGAGTTCATAAGAGTTCTAGATGAATATTTATAAAACTATTTCTTTAAATTTATTCTTTGTTTTTATCTTCATTTTATTTTTTAGTTTACCTCTCTCTCTTCTCTTTATTTTATTGTCTTAAAGTATTTGAGGATTCTAACTATATATAAAATTTATTTTGTAGAAGAATATAGAACAACTAAACCTAGACATCGTGACCCAAAAACTAAGCCTAAACACCTAAGTTTATAAGTAGTTATGGAAAGCCCAAATTAAATTTAAAGTTTTTTTTTTCTTTATCAATGACTTCATTAATTTATAGAAATTATTTATAAAAAAAAAAGTAGTTCATTCTTATATCAAATATCACTCAAAGTTGTTTCTATGATTGATGACATAGAAATGCCAGGATATAGAAAAGTAATTGACCTCCCTGTTATATAGATATATTAGTTCCCTCAAATCTCTAATAAATTTCTTATCAAATAAAAGTGGTAACTAAAGTTATTCTAATTATATAAAAATATATTTAAAAATTTTAATTAGATCTATTATATATATTATTAAATGCATACAGATAATTTTAATTTTCTAAAATAATAGAATTGAATGATGTGCAAGAAAATAGATAAGAGAATAGTTATAATTTACCTTTTCCAAAAACATTTAGCATTAATGAAGAATATATATATATATATATATATATATAAACTCCTAATTACATTATTTCTCATCAAATGAATTAGGTTTACTATACTAAGTATTTATTACTGTGAGTTTGCTAGCAATCAGATATAATTTTCTTGCTTTACCAATATTGAAATCTTATTCTCTTTGCTTTTCTTTTTCTCACGAAAATTGATGAAGAAGACCGTTTTACCCCGCACCTTCACGCTCCCACACGAACGCTTAATCCACAAGGATAAAAGAACCCCCCAGGTTCCACTCCTCTTATCCCCAAAAACTCCAGGAAACAGCACGATGCTGCTAACAATGTCCCTCACATCCTCACTCAACTCCCTTACTCTCTCCACTCCATTCCTCCATGGAACAACCCAACTTTCTCACTTGTCAAAACCCACTTCTTCTCTCTCTCTCCGACCCACGAAGCCCTTCACTTTCCTCCCTCCAATCAGGGCCATGAAGTCAATGCAAGGCAAAGTTGTTTGTGCAACAAGTGACAAAACTGTGGCTGTTGAGGTTACAAGGTTGGCCCCACATCCTAAGTACAAGAGACGGGTGAGGAAGAAGAAGAAGTACCAGGCTCATGACCCTGAGAATCAGTTCAAAGTTGGGGACTTGGTCCAGCTTGAAAAGAGCAAACCCATTAGCAAGACTAAAAGTTTTCTTGCTGTGCCTGTACCAGCTAGGAAGAAGAAGGAGAAGAAAGAGGGTGAGGAGGGAGGAGTGGGGTCTCAAGAGCTTGGAATTCCATTGGAGTCTCAACAGGAACTGCAGGCTTAATGTGTGAGTTTTCTGTTGTTTGTAATAATTTTGCTTCGTTTTGTGAACTTTTGGGATGTAATTTGGTGTTTATTACTGTGATGATGTTTTGATTTTTGTGTAATTTAATGGCTGTGAAATTGATATGATTTTTTCAATTTCAGCATGGGTTCAATTGGCCATGACTTCTTGACTCTCTTCCTCACCCCAGAAAAAAAATTAAATTAAATTAAATAAATAGTACATTTCATCTGTCGGGAATTCGTGATTGGTATTTCAGTGAAAGAGAAGTTGCTTAAAGGAGCTCTGGGTTCCTTTCTTCGGTTGATACTATATTATTTTTCTGTTCATTAGCGATTTTTGAATGCATATTGGTGCCTTGGTTTTGCGGTGATATTTGAATTTAGGTGTTTGATTGTTAGGAATGATTTTCGCCATTTTATGTTAGTTAACTTGTATTCTTAGAGTAGTTTTTTGATGGGTTTTGGTGATTCTTGTAGACATGGTTGGAATCTTTTAGTTTTGATTTGTCCAGATTTTTGGAATTAGCAGATGGTTAATTGCTGAGAGATTCAAAGCAGTAATGTTTCTAGTCAACAAGAGCAAGGAAAGGTAGAAGGAAAAAAAAATGTTGAAGTGCGTTTGTAAAGGGGTGCCCAAAGAGCTTAAGATTTCTGTTGGAGTTTCA